AGTTTAATACATTAATAAATGTTTGATGTTCTCTAGTTTAGTATCTTATTAAATGTTTAATGTATACTAGCTTGATACCTTAGTAAATGTTTATTATGTATTACTTTAATACATTAATAAATGTTTGATGTGTACTAGTTTAGTATCTTATTAAATGTTTAATGTGTACTAGCTTGATACCTTAGTAAATGTTTATTATGTATTAGTTTAATACATTTATAAATGTTCGATGTGTACTAGTTTAATACCTTAGTGTGACATGTACTCATGTAGTATAACAGTCCGATATCTATTTTTCCGAAACCTTATTAAATCATCATCAACTTCTGATCAAAGCTGCCTACGTGCATCACAACTCAATAAATTTAATTTACTTTAACAGTCTAACTAAGACTATTCAATGCCATAAAACAAGAACCTTTAATCATTAGAATGCACTGATTCATCAGTCGGGTACCCTCGCTGTAAGCGATATTTTCAGCTGTAATTACAATATTAAATATACGACATGTATTCGTTTTATACCTTAGTAACAGTTTGACATGTTCTCGTTTAAACTTTTGTTAAATATTTGACATGAACTTGTTTAAACTATTGTATGCATGTCTGTCTTATAATCTTTATTTCATTTGGAAAGTGTTTGACATTAGCTTGTTTAGTATTCTACTAACAGTACGATATATTCTAGTTTAAAACACTTGTAAATATTTGATATTATCTCGTCCAATACATTTTAAATGTACCACATGTTCTCGTCAAAAAGCTCTCGTAAAATATTAAAGATGAACTTTTTGTAAATTTTTACGTTATCGTCATTTTGTCCTTTAAAATTGTTTGACATGTACTTGTGTAATATACCATAAAGATGCTAATTTATAATTGTTTTACAATAGTAAATGTTTGCCTTATACTTATGTTTTTCTTTGAGAAGCGTTTAGCATGTTCTCAGTATTTTACTAACAGTCTCACTTGTGCTTTTTTATATGCTCTAATAAATGTGTCTTAGATATTTAGAAAATGTTAGCGTGTATTTTAGTGGAAACTACTCTTTGTCAAGAATGTTATTGTAATGTATTTGGTGCAATTTCCGTCAGTTTTCCATTATACAAAAAGCCATATTACTCTAGAAGATGCTTATAAAAATGTTATTCGTGAGCATTCGTTTGATGGACTTTTGCTTCCTCTAGAACAAGCGAGGTTTCCCTTATTTATGATAGTTATTTCACTAGTGCAGTCTCACTGCTTCTTCAAACACACTACTCACAAAAATTATAGGAAATTAGGTTGGTTCAGTTTTATGTATTTTTAGGTAATAATTTTTTTTTCAAATTTAGTTTGTTTGTAATTAAGCACAAAGCTACACAATGGGCTATCTGTGCTCTGCCCATCATGGGTATTGAAACCCGGATTCTAGTGTTGTAAGTCCGCAGACATACCGCTGTGCCACTGGGGGGCTTCAAATCTAGCATGATCATTGTAGAGATTACACTAATCCTACCTAGGGTTTGCAAGTTTATGTATCAATGATTCCTTATGTAATAGTCCTTTGTGAGAAAGGATCCAAATTCTGCAAAGCAAAAAGCTAAGTTTGATTGATTAGAAAAGATGCTTACAGTTGAGATAATGTTAGCTTTATGGATTGTTTTGCTGTATTTTTGGAAGAAGTATGCAAGCTGTTAGAAAATACTAACCGTGATGTTACTGTGAAGGGCTACAGATGCACCGTGATGTTACTGTGAAGGGCTACAGATGCAGTAGATGTGGAATATAGCCTTTAGAAACCGCACCAGCAGCGATAGGGGCCTCACGAATGAGCTTCAGTAAGCCACTGGAGTGCGTGTATCGTGCTTAACATCAGGAATAGGCTATATGAGGCTGGACTCGGGTCCAAGACACCACTTACAGCCCCTGTACTAACCCCGAGTCACCGAACGGTCCCGCTGGCGTTTACCCAGGAACATGTCACCTGGACCCTTCAGCAATGGACACCTGTACTGTTCACAGATGAGAGCAGGTTCTGTGTATCTTCATGTGATCTACGTGTGAGGGTCTGAAGACGTGAAGAAAGGCGATATTCGGCCTGTAACATTGTCCATCATGATGCCTTTGGGGGTGGCTCAATCATGGTCTGGGGTGGCATCTGCATGCAGGGGCATACAGACCTCTATGTGGCGGAAGGAGGACCCCTGACAACAAAACCTTACGTGGATGAGATCCTGCTATCCTTTTGCAGGTGCTGTCGGAGATGAGTTTGTGTATCAGCAGGATAACGCCTGTACTCACACTGCTAGGATCATACAGCAATTTTTCTCAGGAGGAAAGAATAAATGTACTGGACTGGCCTGTAGAAACTGACCTAAATCCAATTGACCATGTGTGGGACTTGCTAGGGAGAGTAGTTAGAGATATAACCTATTCCCACGACTGTCCAGGAGCTTAAAGCTGCCCTTACCCAAGAGTGGACTGTGCTGCCCCAGCGAGTTATACAAAATATCATCAGCAGTATGGGGAACAGGTGTAGAGGAATCAAAAACAATAGAGAAGGACCTATCAGCTACTAAAGTCTCATCTTGTCAAGTTTGTTCATCCTAATAAATTATATTTTCTTTTATATTTGTGCAGCCAGTTATTGGCATTTTTCTTTAATTTTTCTTTTAGCTACTTATAAATGCATGTTAGTGTAGCCTATACAATGTGTAAAGTTTAGTATACTGTACTCTAATCCCTTATAGTGATGGGACACGACGAGACACGCATTCGGCATGTAATGCTGTTTGAATA